ATATATATATATATATATATATATATATATATATATATATATACACACACATAGGTATATAGTTAAAGTTCGGTGAAAGAACAAGGAAAGCTCTTTGTTTCTTATTTTATATTTCGGACCATTTTCTTGATTTCCGGTTAAATTTTAAGAGAAGTAACTTTTCTACTCTAGTAGAATAGAGTATATTACCTATATAATGAATCTCTTTCTTTTTCTCTCTACCCCCTCTCTCGCTCTCTCTCTCTCTCTACACACACACACACACACATATGTGTGTGTTTGTGTGTGTGTGTGTGTGTGTATGCACGTTTGTATATGTGTAATACTTTTCTTCCTTAGCATCAATGATTAAACCTGAACATGTCTAATAATGTTTCTAATAATGTTATCAAAAATCAAATTGTAATTCCGCTTCTTCTTCCGTAAGTTAATTAGCACGTTCATTACGTCTTGCCATTTCCTCATATAAACAATGCACCATTACTTTTTTACTACGCTGAAAAAATAGCTCCATCAGAAACATTGGTTGAACAGAAAGAATCAATGAATGAAAGATTAGAGATGGCGATAACGCTCTCATACGTTTAACGTTTACTTCACGAAATGGAAAACCTTGTCAAGTTTGAAACTTTCCATTCGTACCCTCTTTTAATAACCTATATTCATAGTTATGATTATTATTACAATATTTTGTTAAAGTTGTTAAGCTCAAATATTAGATGTAACAGAGGGATTTTCACCTATTTTCATCTTTGAAGTATTCGAAAGAAGCCTATTCAATGATTGACGTAAAAATTACGTTTCATCAGAAAATTCAAAACTTCAATTTTCAGGAATACTGCTAGTTGTAAATAATACTGAAGACCTCTGACATTACTAACAGTTGCTTGTCACGGTTTTGGGTTTTAAAAAGCAAAAAATAGAGATAATGTTTTAACATACGTTAAATTTGGAAAGGATGAACATAATTTTGAGTATATATATATATATATATATATATATATATATATATATATATATATATATATATATATATATATATTGTTGGGGCGCACCCACCTTCTAACTAGTAATGGACTGGTCCCTCTTATATAAGTCAGCTCTGGAGAGAGAGTGACAGAGCGTCAGAGAGAGAGAGTCAGCGTGAGCAGTCCAGATAAGCTTACCCGGTACATACCGTTGGACTATAGACTTTGGATATTGTTTCGTACTAACCAACCTTCGTTCTACTATTGTTAATTGCTTTTATGAATATACCAGTATTTTCCTCTACAACTGTGTTTGTCTTGATTCATACACCGACACGCGGGAAACCACTTTCACCTGAAGACGGTTGCGAGACCAGACCAGAAACACGTGTCGTGAAATTATGTAAAACAAAGTATAATATTTTTTCTCAATAAATCCACATTACAACCAAAAACGTTTGCGGCACCCCTCTTCTTTTTAATATATATATATATATATATATATGTATATATATATATAGAGAGAGAGAGACAGACAGAGAGAGAGAAAGAAAGAGATAGATAGATAGATAGATATTATCTACTATAAAAACTTCAAAACAGCTAACCTTATTGTTGTAATGGCATGTCTCACATTCCCCATCGCCTATGTAGACTGACTATACCAGTAGCTATATACAATGAGTACAGGATTTACTTGGGGGCTCGCTTCGGCAATTAGTTGGAGATTCGTCTCCAGTTGAGCTAGTCGAACTCTCTGCCTTCGTGCATAGAGGACCCAGACGAGGTTTTGCCGAAGAGCAGAGTCTCGTTTGGGTTGGTTGACAGCTACCCGATCCCGTTTTTTACGGGATCTACGGAGAATTTTTGCGCGAGCCTACGGATTAGGATACCCTATGTTAAATTCGGCCTTGTGCCACATCTGATCGGGTGGGTCAGTTGTCAAATATCCTTGCTTCTGGAATTAGTCTAGCGTTGGAGATTCGTTTCCAGCTGTGCCTGGTCAAACACTCTGCCTCCGGGCAGAGGGGATCCCCAGACGAGGCTGTGTCGAAAGGCAGAGTCTCGTCTCGGGTAACAGTTACCCGACCCCTTTTTATACGGGCAGTTTTTCCCGAGCCTACGGGCTCGTTTACCTCACAGTAAATTCGGCCTTGTGCCAGATCTGACCGCAAGGGGCGGTTGGTACATATCCTTGCTTCGGGAATTACTAGCCTGCCACCCGATTCCCTGTTTTTCAGTAGTGTATTCTCTTTTACAATAAACCTCACTTCTACGCGTGTGTTGCTGTTCCTTCACTCGAGTAACACCTTTGTCTGTTTGCAACCTCTTTGGGGATGCAACACTTAACAACAATTCATCTGCAAGGTCTAAATTACAAAGAACAAATATTATTATTAATCCACATGTGCCTTAAGGAACTGTGTTCGTGATCAATCCAAATCCATGAAAATACAACTACAGACTTATCAAGAAGACTCACCTTACATGTCTCTCTGACCATAGCTGAATTAGGAAATCATTTAACCCTACAGAGCCCTATAAAACGCTGCTAAATACTCGTACAAAATACAAATATAATAGCCTCAAAAGAAAGAAAGAATAAAAATAATTTAAACACTAATAATAAAAAAGGAAAAAAAACATTCAATAACATTAACTACGAACACAGTCGCAATGTGCTGATTGTGTTTGGAAAAAAACAAAAACATATTCCTACCACTCTAGAAACATATTTAAAAATCCGCTCATTCAGTTAAAAGACAAACAAACAAAAAAAAAAACTTTGATAATGACTAATATAATAGCCGAAAGCGGTCATATATATAGAATATTTGGATAAAAATGTTTTCACACTTTATACGAACACAAGAAAAATTAAATAAAAGGCTCAAACGTAGTACTTTGTTAGTCGTCTTCAATGAAACATGTATAAAAGAGGGATTGCTACTTGAATATAAATATATATATATATTGTTATACTGGAACACACCTATTCTATTGTTAATAGACTCTCCCACCTATAATAAGTAGGAGTAGTAGCAGTCGCTAAGGGGCTGAGTGAGTTGGTGTGTCAGTCGATGCCGGACGACCGTTAGTCGGATATTAAAGTATCAGCCACCACAACTAGATTGCTGCGTCATTTACTATTATATCAAGTTCCTAACGTTTTGTACGTCGAACCTATTTTAGGACCGACTTAGTGAAATACAAGCCTCTACTGTGAAACTACTCAACAATATATATATATATATATATATATATATATATATATATATATATATATATATAGATATAAATGTTATATTATTATATATATATATATATATATATATATATATATATATATATATATAATTTGAATATTTAATAATATATATATATATATATATATATATATATATATATATATTAATCATTTTACTCAAACTTCCTATCTCTCTCTCTCTCTCTCTCTATATATATATATATATATATATATACATACTCAGTGTGTGTGTGTGTGTGTGTGTGTGGATCTGATATCTGTATTTTTTCTCTAATATTTGCCATGATTTGTTCATTGAAAATGCTTTATCATTGCCATACCTGTAACCCCCACGATATTCTTCTCGTTATTTGCATGAATAAATAAGTACTGATCGATCGATCTTTAGACAGATAAAGAGATTGAGATAGATATAGATAGATAGATAGATAGATAGATAGATAGATCTTTTAAATTATTTTCTCTTTTCTGCTTTCTTTTCCGTCTCGTTTCTCCTTTATGGTTGACTGTTGTTCCGCATTCATACTCATCTACCCGTATAGAAAAAGCATCTATAAAACACAGTAACTAGAACATTTAATTCGTATCAAACCGACAAAGCGTTCCAAGGAAGAGAACATCGCTTCAGTGTCGAACCAAATGGGTCGGTGCTCTAAGTAACGTTTTTTTTTCTTTTCGTTTTCTTTCTTTTTTGTCCGTTTTTCTTCTCTTTTTTTTCCCGCCTTTACAACCCAACGATATCCGGAAGCGATTTGCAGTTCCGTACGAACGCAGCGAAAAAAAGAAAGAAAAAAAAACAGCAGTACGAAATAAATTATCGGAAAAAAGAGAGAGTGAGTGTAATAGGAGTAGATGGGGAGAGAGAGAAAGAAAGAATCATTGGCGCATGGGAAATATTTTTCTCGATCTTATACAACAGTATTTGGGGCAGGAAAGGAGTCTGAGGTGGAAGAAATTATGAAAAAAAAAGAACTCTTATACTTTCGCTCTCTCTCTCTCTCTCCCCCCCTCTCTCTCTCTTTCTATCTCTCGCTCTCTTTCGTTAATAATTCGTACAAGACGCCATTTTCATTACGACCGATAATCCGAGGAGCAGTACGTTGCCCTTCACCTGGCACATATCTCCAGGAACCGACATTTTATTTGAAGCGCTGAGTGATTCTTTGACAATAATGATAATAATAAAGATATTGAATCAAGGAAGAGGAAAGTGGTTATGAAAAAAAGAAGGCGCTGTCGTAACCGAAGTTCCAAGAATTTAGTTTTATTTATTGAACAATGTCCAAGTAACTAAATCCATAGATGTTTCTGCATCACACGTAAATACTTTTCGTTTTCGTTTATCAACTTTATTCTTTAAAAAGTAAATTATAATTTTATTCAATTTTATATTCATTATTATTCTCACATATTATCAGATGCTTTTGTGTGGTTGTATGTAACCTTATTATAGGTCTTTCTTCATTTATATTGCTTTCTCTGACCATCAAGATAGCATTTCTTGTTCCAGTGACTTGATCAAAGCCACACTATTCTTATCTCTGTTTTCGTCTAATCCAGCTACGAATTCATTAGATCCTATTGATAAGCTTAGTTATATGACGCATTAAGCTGATTGTCCGATGGAGTTCGGATTCAGTTGCACCTATCCCCTTTGGCATAATTATTATAAATCTACTGAGGTCTTCTAGTATTTCTCCAGTATCATATATTAATTCGATGATCTTGCCGACTCCGAAATTGTTTAAGGTTGACAGCTTATCTATTACAATTCCTTTTAGTTATGCTGCTTTGTGCAAGTGCCGATTTTAATAATACAGTTCCTTCCATGTTTTATGGATTCTAGGTTTATCTCCTCTGCAATCGGGAATTTACCGATGTATTAGTTCTATCATCGAAGCACCTTTTTTTCTATTATGACCATTTAGATTTCAGACATTCTGTCGACATACATATCTTCTCTCAAGCTATTTCTTTTACCATTTTGTGTATGCGTCCCATGCTGATTTTCAGCAGTTTCTATTTCTGCACACTTCTGGCTGAGTCATTCATCTTTTGCTTCCTTGCATTTCTTTCTATTTTTTAACCTATCCACAGTTACGCACACCCATACTACACCACAACACCCCCAATATATATATATATATATATATATATATATATATATATATATATATAGTGAGCCACACTCTTTACGATAAAATACCGGTAAACGCAATATATATATATATATATATATATATATATATATATATATATATAGAGAGAGAGAGAGAGAGAGAGAGAGAGAGAGAGGCAGCATATCTTCATTTAAACATGTTTAATTGAATAATGTAGACATATTGTTCCCATTTTTATAATGATCCTTTTTCAATTCTCTAATCATTTTCCTGATGTTAAGATGAAATTCATCAAGTAAAGCACTGTAGTTTTTTTTCTAACCCAAGTACTTTCGATGTTTACCAAGAAAGAAATTACAAAGATAAACTTATTGTAACTGCGATAAAATCTGCATTCCTTTGTAATGGTGATTTAAAAAAAAAAAAAAAAAAACACACACGCTCTGTAATTAACTTAAAATTTTTAATTTATCCGTTGTAGCTATGGAATTTTCGCAAAACAAGCGTTACAAAATAACATTAAATGTTTGTTATATGCAGTTTAAGACGTATCTGCTCTACTCGTAATAAATTATGATGAGTGTTGGTTGTTGATTTAGATATAGAGGGCCTCGAGAATTTCAAGGTTTTTCATATATTTCGTATATATATATATATATATATATATATATATATATACATACATATATATATATAAAAGTGGACATTGAGTTCAGCACTAAGTAGCGACTCTGTTTCATGCTTGGAGACAATCTATAAAGCATTCTTGCCTAATTTTATGCTCTATTCCTGATATTGAGGGTTTATATATAACACACCATAAAACCATATTTTCATCATGAATATTTCCACTTTGTAATAACAAAGAAACATTTCTCGTTTTTTTTTAATCCCATATATTCAAAATAAATTAAAACTAGACTCATGCTGATTAAGGATTAGTAATAATTCATGAAAAAGTAATTTGAAATTTTGAATATAGTTGGGATTTGATAAATTACAGAGTAGTCTAATCTTATTTATTTACTTATTCACATTATAATAGAATTATAATTTTTAGAAATATTAAGTGATTTGACAGTGAATTAATGGCCTCCTTCGTCGGCTTTTATATATGAAGGAAATATTTGGTCAAGTTCTGGAAACGTTTTCAGTAACTTAATATATTACAATGACTGATGATGAAATATTAGGAACTAGATTTTATTTGAAGGTTGACGACAAGTGGAATATTGCTATTTATTCTAAGATAAATTAGACAAAACCATAAACGAAATAAAGTAAGTATAGATGCGGTTAAAAATATCAACGATAAAATTCCTAACATCAGAAACTTACTGGAAACATTTTAAATCTATATTCAGCGCAATTGCTCAGAAGAAAAAAAACACCCGGAGGATTTATTTAGGTGCCTTAAATATGAAAATAAAACTAGAAGGCATTTATGTGTCGGTTTTTACAAACGCCCAATAAATAACAGAGAAAAAGAAGCTAGGTTAAATTTATCTACTTACGTCAGCGATCTATTATCGCCTAACGAGAAAGCCCAAATAACAATTAGTCGGGATAAGGGTGTGAATATGGATGTTCTTCTGCAGTCAGCGATGACGACTCAGTCAGAGATGTGAATACCATTCAATTATAATATTGCTCCATTTCACCTGCAAGATGACACCAGCACTCCTCTCGTTACTCCACTTAAACGCTATTTCATAGCGAGTGAGTGACAAGCAAACATGCAGATGGCTTCATTTCTTGTAGCGTGGCGAACTTCATTCCAAGATCACTCACAGATTCCTAGAATTCGAACAGCGTTCAGAAGAATCCAGTTTCCAAAATTTAATCTATTTATATAGATAAAAAAAATGGTGAACGGAATACTAATCTGACAGCATTTAGCTTTATTTTTAAACCTTTCAAGTCGACTTATGCACAAATACTGTTTAGCATTTTTTATACTAACGAATTAATAATGTTCATAATAATATTAACCGTTTCTTAATAAGGAAACATTCGACATTCATTAACCGAAAAATTTGTACTACTGTTGGTTTAAAAATTCTAAAAGCTTTCTCTTAAAACAATTTTACAGGAAAATATGTTTCTCAAGTCCAGTAGCTGTTAACCCTCTTTCTAGTATTGGCGAGGGTTTCTTTCCTAACCTTTTGTTTGAAGTAGTGTGGAATTTTCATTATTATTTTCTCTTCGAGTTACATGTGCTATCCATTTTAGTTGTTACTGTTGTTGAAAGTCTTCAAGTGATGTGATTTCTGTTTTTTCGAGTAATACTTAAGAGCAATGCTTAGTGTTGACATTCTACACTATTTCAAATATACACAGGCCTTCAATAAGTATTACTCTTTTAGATCAATGTTTTTAAACACAAAATAGTATGCAGACACTCTCCAATTATGAAATCTCTACAATAGTCTCTCTTCGACCACACCCTTTTTCTTTTTTTTTTTTTTTTTTAAATCGGTTTCACCCTATGCAAAGTAGTAAAGCCACTAAGACACCAGGGGTTTACTGGGTGTGAAAAAATTAGCAATAGAAACATTAATAATGAGAAGGACAAAAAAAGCAAACAGGAGGAAAGTAGCATTTAAATTTTTGCAAATTAGATTTGCCTGGGAAGCATGGAGTCGGAAGGGACTACCACGAGAAAAGAAACTGTTGTCGTATATAGGACGCTGATGGTAAAAGTCTGAAGGTCGAAAAGTTCTCTGCAGAAGCGAACCTAAAGTCCGTACGAAGGGCGACTTCTGGGTTAGTTATTGATACAGCCCTAACCATGTATCTGAAAATACTTATATTCCAATGAAAAGTGAGAGATCAGGAAAAGCAAGCAACAAATTATTTTAAAAAATTTAGCAGTTAGCATTGCCAGTATCGATATTGATTTTAATATTTTCCTGGGGCGTATAAGCAAGGGTATAAAAATGGGAATGACCTATAATTATTTTTTAAGAAGAGGAATTATGTTTTTAATTGTTTACTTACAATACTGTAAAATAGTTAAAAACCTCTGTTTAATAGATAGAGATGTAGATAAACGAAATTTGAACATAGGAATCAACGATGTGTGTTAACTGTCAGTTTCACTCTTCATTACGATCTAGGAGAGTCCATTGGCGCGTGAAATTGAGCCACCATACAGTATTGACCGTACTGTCTAAAACGCTCTATTTCCGATACTGAACGTATTTCCTCTTTAAAAATAGCAAATTTTAAACAATACAGGCACACACGCATATATATATATATATATATATATATATATAAAGGCAGCAATTTTTCATTGATGCATGTTTCATTAAATAATATAGACAAGTTGTGTCTATTTTAAGTAAGTTACTTTCATATTGTCTGATAAGCTTAATAACATTATTATTGAAAGACGAAAGGAAATCACCATATTGATACATGTTTATATTCGATCTAAGCTTTCGGCTTACATAAGCCATTATCAAAGATGACAATTTCATTTCAATATATCAAAC